CTGTAAGCGCTGTAGGCAGTTAACCAAAAACCAAGGCAAACATAATTATGAAAACTGTGGCTATGTTGCTTCATTTTTTTTAAGATTTAAAAGAACAAACATTAAACATTCATATATTGTGCATTTATGTTCATTTAATGAATTTATTATTAAGGCAAATAATTCATATTTTATCAAGGTTTTCAAAAGCAACGCATATATCAAGTATATTTTTAATGGTCATGTGTCTGCAGTGGTACAAGTTCGAAATGATTGCAGTTGTTCTAGTTGATAGTTAACGTTGGTATTAGTTGACTGTTAGTAGTTCAAGTTGACTTAGTACGAGCTTGTAATAGTATGCATGGACTTGCTTCCCTGGAAAGAAAACTGAGTTTGTGTTCTACAGTGCAAAAGTTATGAGACACAAATCAGACAAATGTTTACTACTACGGGGATCAAAGGTGAGGTCTGACTGACCTGCCCATAGTAAATGTAAATGACCCCCGCCTTCACCCCAAGTCCATGATGTCTAAGTTTGGAATAAAATGACAGGTGATTATAATAAAGTTGGTCAAACACTCTTGGGCTTGAAAGATATGTTTTCTTTAAAATGAGCCATATTAAAATGAAATTTTTTATAGAACCAGAAATTATTCAAAATATAATTAAGGTAAATTCTTTAAACCTACTCATTTTTTGCATCAATAAAATTTTATAATAAACAAGAAATAATTGTAACAGAATGCTGTTACGAAGTCTCCCAAACAAAGCTGCCATAATTATTCATTCCCATGGTCGCCTGACATTGGGCAAAGTCTAGTACACATTGATTAGGTCTAGTAAAGTGATATGCATATGTGATGCCTATGAGATTGACCTTGTATGTCATTCAAATCTGTTTGAAATGACGAACAGGAATGAATATGGTTTAGGAGTTGGTATCTCAAACTTTTACAAGTTCTTAAAACACACACAAGAGGGGATGGGGTGACCTTAGGGACTAACCCTATATTTCGTTTGATTTTTTATGTTGTCCCATACATGAATATATATATGGTTTAGGGGTGGGGATCTCGACCGTTATCAAGTTTTCAAACAGGATGGGGTGGGGTGACCCCAGTGACTTCCCCTATATTTCATTTGATTTGTTATATTGCCAAATACATGAGTATATATGGTTTAGGGGTGGGGATCTCATCTGTTTCCAAGTTATCAAACAGGAGGGGGTAGGGTGAACCTTAGGACTCTCCCTATATTTCATTTGATAAGTTCTGCTGTCCCATACATGAATGTATATGGTTTAATTTAGAGGTCGGGATCTCGACTGTTTCCAAGTTCTCAAACAGGAGGGGTGGGGTGACTGCAGGGACTCCCCTATATTTCATTTGATTTGTTATATAGTCCCATACATGAGTATATATGGTTTCGGGGTGAGGATCTCGACCGTTTCCAAGTTCTCAAACAGGATGGTTTACAGTGACCATAGGAGCTGCCCCTATATTTCATTTGATTTGTTATATTGTCCCATACATGAATATATATGGTTTAGGGTGGGGATCTCGACCGTTTTCAAATTCTCAAACAGGAAGGGGTAGAGTGGCCCCAAGCACTCAACCTATATTTCATATGATTTGTTATATTGTCCCATACATGAATATAAATGGTTAAGGGGTGGATCTCGACCGTTTCCAAGTTCTCAAACAGGAGGGGTGGGGTGACCCCCAAGGACTCCCCCTATATTTCATTTCATTTGTTATATTGTCACATACATGAATATGTATGGTTTATGGGATCATTATTTTTTTGTATGCTCCAATGAACAAATTATGTCTTTAAGAGAAAGATATATACTTACATATTACACACAAAATCCTTCCCAATTGAAACTTACTGGTCTATTATCACACTGTAACGTGCCACTGCTAACAAAAGTGTGCATGTTTCTAAGACATATTGAAAAAATATTTTCATAATACAAAGCATGTTACAATAACTTCATATCCACGTTGCAATTAAGAATTTTGCAAACAAATCAACCAACTATGGTTTATTTCAATTTTATTGTATGATATCACTTATTTATTTATTGTGTGTCTTGCTTGTAAATGTATAAGTACATATGTAATTGTTAATGTATAATTGTTATCCTCTTGTAGCACCATACGTGTGCTTAAGTTTAAATAAATTGTCTGGTCTTGTCTTGGGATCTTGACCGTTTCCAAATTCTCAAACAGGAGGGGTGGGGTGACCGCAGGGACTCCCTCTATATTTCATTTGATTTATTATATTGTCCCATACATGAATATATTTGGTTTAGGGGTGGGGATCTCGACCATTTCAAAGTTCCCAAACAGGAGGGTTGGGGTGACCCCAGGGACTCCCCTGTATTTCATTTGATTAGTTATATTGTCCCATACATGAATATATATGGTTTAGGGGTGGGGATCTCGACTGTTTCCAAGTTCTCAAACAGGAGGGGTGGGGTAACCCTAGGGACTTGCCCCTATATTTCATTTGATTAGTTATATAGTCCCATACATGAATATATATGGTTTAGGGGTGGGGATCTCATCCGTTTCAAAGTTATCAAACAGGAGGGGGTAGAGTGACCCAAAGGATTCCACCTATATATCATATGATTTGCTTACATTCAGGTATCATATAATCTAGTTGCACTATTTGCGAAAACAAAGTAAGAAACTTCCAGCTATGTTAACTCTGGGAACAGTATATCTAACGGGAAATGAATCTGATACGCTTTTCAGTATAAAATTGATAAAATCTCGGACTCCCCGAGACCTCCCGAGATTTACAGATTTTGGTAGCGTCTGACAGAAAAACTATCAGAACTGCTCAACAAATAAACCACATAACTCTAATTGTAAATAAATACAAGTTTTATCATTTAGTAGATATATTTTGTCATATAAAATTACCAAAATAAGTTTGATTTATTTGATGTGAAGTGTTTTATAAAAGTTTGGGAATTTGTAAATCATCGCGGCAATGGCCGCCATTTTTTTATTACCTGGTTTGCATTCTGCACAATTCTGTGATGAAATGCTTGCGATTTTAACAAATTTGAAGTCACAGAATACAAGTTTGATACACTAGCATCACTATAAAACTAGTTTGAATGACATTTTATTGATTATATCAGAAATTATTAGGATAATAGCGAGTCCGTTTTTAACACATGTCCATTTCTGTGTCGTATCTTTATTAACTATGGCACGACGATAAAATCGACTACAATCAGGTAGTGTCAAGTCCCGTCAATATATATGTTCCTGGTTAACTGACCCTTCAAAATTGAGAAAAAAATTGCAGTAATATGTTTACACTTTAAAAGCATCTTACATGCATTATCAACATTTATCACTGATAAAGAAGATTTATACTGTCACCAGGAACATATATATTGTTAGATATACTGTTCCCAGCTGTCACATTGTATTGGATTTTGACATTAAAATTTGTCAAAAAGTAATTTTGAGTTTCTGTATCAAATATTTTTTGCTTTTTCTTTCTATTACATATATCTTTTGGTTTCCATTTCTAGTGTTTATATTTATTTACCATGCATAGATGTATTTTGTCACCTGCCTGAAATTTTTTTTTGTAGTTGATCTCCAAAACCCGGAATTACCCTTATCCGCTTCCGGAATCGGACCCGATATTGTAATTGTCTACACGGCATCCATTGTTTTTCAATGTTGTTTTTGTCAGTCAGATACGATTTTACTCGAATTTACACATTACTTGTAGGCGATTATCTGTATAAAGCTAGCGGTTGAACAAAATGAACATCGCTGTCATGAATAATAAAGATGAAAATACGTTTTGAGATCGTTTATTTAGAGACTTTGGTAAAAAGGTTTGCAAAGTTATTTTTAATTTTCTTTCAAGTGAAAGGTCCGTCGGGCGTAGCTAGTAACCAAGTCGAGAGTCCGATTGCAAAAGTGGAAGGTCGCGGACCTCGGACCACCGCTAATTTGAACCCCTGCCTCCAAATTGAAAAGATACGAAAATTTCGTCTTCTAATTTGAAATTGCCGCCAACAGCATGAACAGTGGAACTTATTAATAGACTACTGACGTAGTTGTAACACGTATTGACGACAAACAATATTCCTACGACTTTTGCCATTTGGGAAATCTAAACTACTTGTCTTTAAAGATTTTCGGCGATTAAATATTTCATACAATTGTTCTTTGACATCTTAGCCAAAAGCACAGGGGATAATAAACTACATAAGGATTCCTAATGTGCTCTACTTCCTATGTGCAACTTCAAAACTTTTGGGTGGTTCGACAATCATTTAAGGTTTTTTCTGATCATATTTTTGTAATCCAGAACTAAAAGTATGAAAAAACTATTCAATTAGTTATAAATAACATTATATCCAGCTAGATAATAACAATGGCACGTATTTCAGCATTTATTGGGTAGAACACAAATCTAGGGTGCTCGCATAAGGCAGCTTAACTGCCTAAAAATCACAAGATCAGAAGTAAATGTATCATACATAAAGTTAATAACTCATAAAGATTTAGAAAAAAAATTAGAAAACTCTATGTGTGATACATGGACTGTCTGATGGACATAATGCAAAACTATTGTCTCCATTTACTCTGTAGGGGATCAAAACTTCATATATTACTGCAAATTTAAATACAGACAGTTTATCTTCTTCTTTTGAATCTATAAGTAACTCCATCTAAGAAATGTGTATAAAAAATACGGCAACTTTTACATGCATGTTATAGAGGATTTGAGCTATATGCCAAAATATATTTCTATTTAAAAAAGTACAGTTTTTACACATACGCCCAGAAAAAGATTCATGAAAATGACACTTATATTATGCACACACATGAAATTTATGCAAATAGACACATTTATTTCATGCATGCCAAATATCTGTCATCTATGAATTACTGTCCATAAAAATCTCTATTTAAAATATACAAAAGTGTAAAAAAACAGGAATACTTATTTTACTAAAATTTTGTTTTAAAAAACTTGTAGAAAAATACCTATTATAAATCACTTCATTAAAATTCAGCTATTTATAAAATAACCTAAAAGATAAGAATATTGAACTCAAATCACAGACTGTTGGGTTTTGTTCATAAGTGTTGTGAGTGTAAATGTATTAAAGCTTCAAACTTTAAAAACGCAATAAAAAATCACATGGATAAAACTCACAAAGGCCAGATAATATCTGATATCTTAAAAAATAGTGTGAACTAAAAACCAGACATTTTGGTTTCGTTCATAAGTTGTGAGTGTAAATGCTTTAAAGCTTCAAACTTTAAATAACTCAATACAAAAATTCACATGCATAAAAATCATAAAGGCCAGATAATATCTGATTATTTACCAGAAAATATATATACTGGTTTTCAACATAATGGCCCTATGAAATGATAAACACAATAAATGGCACACCAATGGAAAGAGATTACACACCCTCAGTTATTTCACATAAGCAGCTGGAAAAAGTCCATCTCTGTTACCTAATTTTCCACTCCACCAGTTTTCGTCCACATATTCTAATACAGTGATAATGTCACCTTTCCTGAACCCAAGTTCTGACGGATCCTCTGGTTTAAAGTCATACATTGCTACTGCAGTCCTTTCCTGAAAAATTCAATTATAAAAGCATAATGCGTAGCAACTACATTGATTTATTATTATTAAGCAATATTTTGCATTCTTTGTGCCATCATATTACAAAATTATTCTTATAAATGTATAATCTTTGAATTTCAAAAGTCTGATTGAGTACGATTTTTTATCTTTTGATTTCTGACAATAAAAAATTTTCAATCAGGGAAGTAAAAGCTCACTGGTACACTTATGTACATCTTTGACCATTTTGCAATAAGTGAAAATAGCTAATAATATGATTAATGTTGGAAAGACCACTGAAAACTGAGTATTAGTTTTGTGTTACCAACACCTCCAAAAGTTTTCAACCATAAGCCTTCAAATTTTCTAAAACGTATATACACTCAATATATGGAACTTACTTTGTTTCCAAATTTGGAGAATTTTTTCTTATTCTTCAGATGGTAAAACCAAGTCAATTTTCAGCAGCATTCTTCATGAAGGGTATCCATTTTGTATTCCCAATGTCAATGAAGATTATAAACGTATAAAAAGTAATTAAGAGAAAATAAAACTGGTACTTACCATAACCAAATCTTGTAACAGGATTGTCTGTGTTCGACTTACAGAGTTTGTTCGATGATAATCTATAATTTCATTCACAGAATTAAATTTAACACACCATAAATAGTATTTGCCTTGTCCATCACGTAACACTTTAAAATGTTGTATACTGTCTTTGAATCTAAAACAAATGAAAATAAATTTGTGAACTTTCTCACTTATCCCAAGAATCTCTTATTCTTGAAAAGTCTGCCTCGGTACTTTTTGTGGAAGACTGTAATACTTCTAAAGATGCACCCTTAAACCAAGTTGTAATTGAGTTCTGAATTTGCATTTAAAATTAATTGAAGTCAAAGAAGCATAAATTATATAGGTCAAAGTGACCTAATTTTTTTGGGGAGGCTGCTATAGTCACCAAGAAAAATTCTTTCTCAAAGTTATATGATTGAGGTCACTGGTCAAATGAACTCTGAATGTTAACTTTGACATCAAGTGTATAAAATATTGATTGGTTAGAAGGACTTGCGTGTTGTCACACATTTCTATACTAACCTAGAGACATCATATGTCAAGTTATAAGATTTTAAGTCATTATGTTTTCACACCACCTGACCACCTTATCTGAGATCTCAATCAAGACATAAAACTTAATTAAGTCAATAAAGCAAATAAAATAGGTCAAAGTGACCTACTTTTTGTGGGAGGATGCTCCTTACATCAAATTACATGATTGCAAGTCACTTGGTATAAGAGACATGTACTTGGATCAAAAACTTTATATACATTATCATGTGCAGAACTACTGAACCATGAAATATGTATGTGATCTTAATATTGTATTTACTTGACTGATATAGAGAATTCTCCTGGGGCACTCTCACTCATTCTCACTATAAATGCACCATCTGGTTGAGGAATCCCACCACTTGCTGACTTCCGTAATCGTTCCTCGGCTTGACATCTGGTCACTTTACCCACAAACCACCTGTTAAGACAAAACACAGATCTATATGACATCAAAGCTATAATACTTGTTCCTGTAACTACTTTTTATTATCCATTTTATCTTGGGATTGCTGTCATTTTCATCAAGGTTGTTTCAATCTTTTCATATAATCATTTAGTCTGAAATTTTGGATGATCTGTCTTAGATTGTATGGTTCAACAGGTACATTAAATTTTGTAGACAATAATTTTGTTTAAGTGTTTTGATTTCTGACAACCTAGTTTGTGACCGGCTTACAAAAACTCTTTACATATATACAAAGATTTGCTACAATCAGATTAAACCAGGTCTTATTTTACCTATGTTTAGTGATAAATTGTATGTACTATGAGTATAAGGCTCAACAAAATGATTTAAATCAGACTGTGTTTAGTGTGTTACTTCATTTCAGTCCCTTAAATAGTTTGTGTGATCTGATATTTTTTCTGTTTCACAATAAAATGCTGGGGCCCAACATGATACGACCGCAGAGGTCAAACCCTGAACAGTTAGGGCAAGTATGGACACTATATTCAAGCTTGATACAGCTCTGAATTTGGATTGTGATTAAAGATTTGACACAGAATGAATGTGGTAAAAGAACTGAAAAATTTGAAATTGGACTTTTACCTTATATGGTCCAATATCCAAAATCTAAAAACATTGTTAGATTCAGCATATCATTGAACCCCATATACTCATTTTTGTTGATATCAAACTAAAGTTTCATTTTAGACCCCAGATTTGGACCAACTTGAAAACTGGACCCAAAATCAAAAATCTAAATACATGTTTAGATTCAAGAATATCAAAGAACCCCTTGAATTTAATTTTTGTTAATTTTGGACCCTTTGGTCCTTTATATGGACCAATTTGAAAAGCCCAAAAATCAAAAATCTGAATAGACAGTTAGAGACAGCATATCAAAGAACTCCAAGAATTCAATAATTGTTTGAAATCAGACAAAGTTTAATTTTGGACCCTTTGAACCTAATGTGGATCAATTTAAAAACGGGGCACAAAATCCAAAATCTTAATTCATGGTTAGATTCAGCATATTAAAGAACCCCAAGAATTCAAGACTTCAACCCCTTTGAAATTGGTCAAGAATGAAGCAATTTATACAAAGTATTAGAAAATAGATTTGGAGCAAAATAAATGGTTAGGCAGCAGTATACACAACATAATTTTCACATGCACTTACGAGTGAGGTTTCATTTCAATGTAGTTGTGTGGTACAAAACCAGTCTCTCCATCTAATTCTGCTTTAAACCAATTCTGATCTTCATCAAAACTTAATATCTACAATAAAATAATAAATAATAAATAATAAGTAATTCTTTGTCAATAGGATATTTCAGCAATAATACTGTAGACTTGACACTTCAGCTACTTTGATATTAACATTCAATTTTTTTTTGTAACTTGGGTTGTATTAAGAAACCACCAGTCAATCTATTTTGGTGATGATTTCTACAGTCAATGATGGCAGGTGGCATTTGGATACCATCAATCAATCAAATTCTTCTGCTGGTCATTTTTATAAAGAATGCCAGTTTCAATCTTTTTGTAGTGATTCAGGCTAAAACATATCTCAATATTAAATGAAATAGTACTAGTAGTATAATCAACAGGGTGATTATAAATTAAACCATGAATCAAAAACCAATTTCTAGGGGATTTTTCTTCTTCATAAAATGAATCAACATAAAAAGTAAAGATTCTCAAGCTTCTAATTAAAACCTAGAACAACCCTTGATCTATGTGAAGTAATATTTTAAGTACTCTACACTACACATCAATGACTGAATACTATTGACGACATCCGAGGAAGTAAATTTTCTGTATATTTAACACTTACACGTAATAACCCATTGATGATATAATAATTTCCCTTTTCCGAGTATATATCTACTTTTCAAAATAAAGAAGAGTGCTTCTTTCCTGCTGATAATAACTGATTATGACAGTTTTAAGATAAATTTAATATTAGTTAATGAATCATAAAAATAAAGTCAAGGTTATTTATCACTGTTAGAGAGACACCATGAGACATGTGCATCTTATATTGATTTTAAATATAGACCAAATATGCTTAACCTAATACTCATAGTATAATACTGAGAAACTGACCAAAGCTGAAATATTAAGCTTTATGCAATTAGTTAATGTTTGTCATCGGATTAGCATGCCTATGTCTTGCATATTGTGATGAAAGGAAGACAAAAACAGATATGTTACAAACTTTTATCATCATTATGAACTATCTGTTTTTAACTGCAATAAAAGATTGATTAATGGTTACTAAAATTCCAGTGACAAATATTTCATACATATTCAGGATGCTAATTAATAACAATCCCATTGTTAGGTTTAAAAATAAATGGGGAATGTGTCCATGGGACACAGATGATGCCCCTGCTTGCATATAACGTTAAAAAGGGACATAACTCTAGAACTGTAAAAGTGACGCTACCCAAATTTGTACTTGATCTGAGTTTTCTGGTAATAAGCATTGTGTATATGTTTCATTGAGGCAAACTTAAGTTAGAGAACTGAAACGAAAAATTCAGCAATTTTTCCATTTGTAAAGGGGCATAACTCTAGAACGGTAAATGTGACGCCACCAAAATTCGAACTTGATCTGTGTTTTGTGGTAATTAGCATTGTGCATAATTTTCATAACATTTGGTTGAGGCAAACTAAAGAAAGAGAACAGAAACGAATATTTCAGCAATTTTTCCATTTGTAAAGGGGCATAACTCAAGAACGGTTACAGTGACGCCACCAAAATTCGAACTTGATCTGTGTTTTGTGGTAATAGGCATTGTGTATACGTTTCATAACATTTGGTTGAGGCAAACTAAAGTTAAGGAACAGAAACAAAAAATTCAGTAATTTTTCCATTTGTAAAGGGGCATAACTCTAGAACGGTAAAAGTGATGCCACCAAAATTCAAACTTGATCTGTGTTTTGTAGTAATAAGCATTGTGTATAAGTTTCATAACATTTGGTTGAGACAAACTAAAGTTAGAGAAGGGAAACCAATTTTGGGACGTAAGGATGGACGGACGTACATACAGACGGACAAGGGTAAAACTTAATGCATAAAAAAAGGTGTGGACTGGAGATGTTGTGGATCGTTTTGATTGTCAATAAGGTCAATCAAAAAAGCATATTGTTAGAGCAAAGAATTTTGACTCATAACAGGTAACCTAAGGACCCCTCTGAAAAATGTTGCCCTGCAGTGTTTACCTTTAAATTTAAGAGCCTGCTAAACAGCCTTCTACATCACAAATTTTTGTCATGAACTTCCATCAATTATAAAATTTATCAATAATAACTTCACCAACCATGCACATTCAAAATGCTCAACCTTCCAATTTTTTAAATCAGTCAAGTTCCTTGATGTTCAACTTGGGAATAGAAATATGGTCACTCTTGGTCTTCTTCAGACTGACAGTAAAATCCTCGCCAAAGAAGGGCGTCTGCTTGGTTCTACAGGATGTATAAATTCTCAGTCAAGTCAGTCAGAATGGGGACATTAAATAAGATGCCTCTGTAGAAAAGTGCCACGCTCTCTGCACATTAAGAATCTTTGCAACCACTCTTTAAGGGATCTGTGGGTGGCCCTATGCAAGGCTAAATTTCTGTCCCTATCCAATTTACCCTCATTTTCCAGTGACAGCCCAAATTTCCTGCCCTACATAAAGGTCAACCCTTTTATATAATATTGTAAGTATTGTTAATTTGTTCTCGTCCTGAAAATGCATGAAATATTTGCCACTGGATGTTCAGCATCCAACAATCAATCAAACCTTGATGTTCAAACATCTTGGCATTCTCTTAACAAATAACCTACAATTAATGCTCGCAAACAGACCAACCAAGACAGCATAGTTATACATGTATATAAATGTCACAAAGTCAAATTATATGCTTCTGTATGTACATAACTACAACAGAATATATTCATGTAGCCATATATACCTTTATATTCAATCCAGCTAACCTTGTTAGGACAGGATAAAAGTTTTGTTTGATAGATATGTTTGAGGGTTTATTTGTGCTTCGTACAGTCAGATTTATTGGGTTAAGCCATATTGCATTTTCAACTGATTTTTACAATTTACTCGTATGTTGTGCTGTAACACCAGTTACACTACAGGTCAAGGGAGGGTTGAGAGCTCTCAAACATGTTCAACGCCGCCACATTCTTTATGTTCCTGTGCCAAGTCAGTAGCCTGTAATTCAGTGGTGAGTGGTTCATGTCTGTCTTCATAAATTATATTGTTTAAATTAGGCCGTTAGTTTCCTCCTTTTCTTGTTTGAATTGTTTCACATTTTTAATTTCATGTCGAGCCTTTTACAGCTGACTATACTGTATTTTTTTTTATCATTGTTGAAGGCCGTATAGTGACCTATAATACTTTTTACTTTCGTCATTTAAACTCTGGTGGATAGTTGTCTCATTGGCAGTCATACCACATCCCCTTATTTTTTTATGATTATTTGTTTGAATTGAATTGGTTTTTTTTTTGTATCCATCCAAGATCTGCTAGCAGTTCATAGGTTTTGGTTTAAATTTCTATTTGATTTAATTCCATCCAAGGCCTGCTAGCAGTTTATAGGTTTTGGTTTTAATTTCTATTTGATTTAATGATTGATTGATTGGTGTTTAACGCCACTTTCAACACTATTGTGCTATTTCGTGGCTGTCAGCTTTTATTGGTGGAGGAAGCCTGAGTGCCCGGAGAGAACCACCGACCTTCGGTTGGAAAACTGACAATCCAAGTCAATTGATTTAATGAAGAAATTTTTAATTGGGATTGACCAGAACACACAGCTTTGTATTGTAAGAAAATTTTACATGTTAATAAAATACCTACCTTATTTCACCTTGTATTATACTTCTAATATTCAGAAAAGACAATTTTTAGCAACATTCTTTGCAAATGATAACAAAATAGAGGCCATATAGTTGAATGTTAAAGATATTCTATAAAGGTACCGGTATGTAGAAATACTTGTCTTTTCTTATTGGTGGATTGAAATACTGGTCATTACTTACAGATTAAATAGTTAGCAACATATTACTAAGATGACTTTGTCAGAAGTGTCAATACTACTTTGTCATGGTAACTTTATCTAAATATATAAAGATATCTATTGTATTTAATGCATTTTGTAAAAAAAAAATGGACGCCTTAATAGTATTAAATTATGCACAGTTTTAACTTTTAATGTCCAATTTCAAAAAAATATCATAAACTAAACTAAGATTCATACATATATATAATAAACATGATAAACATCATAAAGAGAAAATATAGAATCCATAATTTACAACCATATAAAATGAAGAACAACCACTGGATTACAGGCTCTGAGCTTTTGGACATGCTCATTAAAGGATGTGACAGGGTTAAAAATGTTTGATAGTTTTTAATCCAATCAATCCCCATCCCCTTAACCTGGTGTTACAACACATTAACAAACTGTAAAATTCAGTCAGAAATGGCTCAACTCATCAGACTCTTTACTAGTTACTACGTATAGCATGGAAACAAATAAAGAAAAGATGACAGACCCAAAGTACTGATGTGAGAGAACTTGCAGTTACAGAAAGCTAGTTCGAAGCCCCATTTCAACTAATAAAAAAAAACCTGTTTTCCATGACTAAAATGTCAATCAGTACACTTCCCACAGATCAAGTGTAATGACACCTATCTCATAAGCTTTGTGCTATAAAAGAATTAATTATGTGCAATGTCAAAATATAAAATATTGACAGGATTTAGGTTCATAAGTGTCAAATTTGGATAGCAGAAAATTTTAATCAATAATCAATGTTAAATAAAGATGATGATGGATAGGTTTTTAACATCCAGTGGCAATGATTACATGTAAATCAGGACAAGAACATGTTAATGTAATATCAATATGAAACCCTTTTTTTTTTTTACGAAACCTTCTCTATACTAGACCGACAAGCTGAGCTGGATTTTTAACATGCCAGTTCATAAGTTAACAGACCATAGACAGACTTATAGCCCTACCCAGACATATTATTTTGACCCTGAGCTGACACGTGACAAGTCAATGGTTTGGCTCTGCTAGTGATCGAACTCACAATCTCCTGCACCTGAGGCAAGCAATGCTGCACGCTACCACAAGACCATTAAGAAAGTGAATCAATGATAGAACCAATAAAGACAATGCTAAATTGATTATCTCAACATGTTTAAGATTGACTTTATTCAAAGGAACAATAAGTTTATGGATATTATCTTTACTAGCTCTATAAACAACATCCCCCTAAAAATTTAGATGTGATATCCTGTTTGTTTTATAGGTACAGCCAAACTTTAAAATCAAAACTTTGTTTCTACAAAAGAATTAAGTATAGTTTCTAAGTAATTTGTGGTAACCTAATCCCTGACTTAATAATTTATCAGTTATTCATGTTATAGATAACGTTTTACATTGAGACATTAGTACTTTAATAACACAGATATCAGCATAAGAAGCAAGTTGTGAATATACACACCTAAAGGACAAAAGGAACAACTCCATCCAAATAATAAAACTTGACAATAAATAACGAAAAATTGTCCCTTTTGTCTTAATTTTAGTAGAGCTGGCATGGTACGAGTACGCTTGTTTCCAAGTTTCCAGTAAAATGTACTCTGTATTTTGTTAATCTTTCAACATTGAAACATGGCCCTATCTATCATGTCTACATACCATACCTTAAAGCAAGGTAAGCAAGGTATGTAAAAATGAATCAATTACATAAAATGCACAAATTTAGAAGTTATTTTTGTTTTACTTTGCATGCATCCAACTGTCCAAACTGAAACCACTTGGCACTACCCCTGTTCGCAGTTCAAATATACTTTCCTACGATAGTCAGATGGATCATACAGTTTTGTTTGGCAGACATGTTATAATAAATGTCAGTGTTTATTTCCTTTATCACCTTAAGAGTTTGACCACGTCGGAAGGTTAATTCGTCATCTGCTGTTGCTGTAAAATCGTGTTTTGCCTTCGCCTCCATTTTCTCTTTTCCTTCTGTAGTTCTCTTGTCTGTACCGTATCTCACTAACGAAAACGCCCGAGTGTACATCTAGAAAAAAAAATACGTCTGTATTATTATCTGACATATTGACATTCAAACAACACAATAAATCGTTATACAAATTTTTTAATTATTTAAATTTATCAAATTTAATTTTGATGCAAAATAAAGATCTAACTGTGATTATGAATAAAAGGGAATGTGGGTTATTTGTCTATGAGGCACCAACCCGGCAATGACAAAAAATAACCAAAAGAGACATCTATAGTTGCATCAACATGATCAAGGATTTGTTTAGTATAATACTATACAAATCCTTGGTTGCACCATTCAGTCTTCACAAAAAAGACATATTCCTATACAAACCCTAAATCGTCGAGGCCTTTGTACAAAGTTTTTACTAGTTTAAACAAAATCTATCAAAATAAAAAAAAAGATTGATATCACACTAAAATCATAAGGGTGCTTTCTTTGACCTCCGCGTTGAAAAGGGCACAATTAATGCGTTCTTTGACGTCCGCGTTAAAATTGGGTCGTAACTGCTTCCGAGACCCGTCATCGGCATTTCAAAGTCCAAACGCTTTATTCATACACGATCATATGATACTTAGTTTTAAAATAATTAAAAACCCTAGTAATCTCCGTTTATGATTTGTCCAAGGATTTGTATAGCAAGAGGATTTGAATCTCTTACTATGCAAATCCTTGATTTATCTTATTACAACAAGCACCAAAACAGGCAATTTTAAAACAAACTTGCGGAAACATATCATCACACAGGGCCCTATGTCAAAGCAAAGCATGACATAAAACAAGCACATACTATATAAATAAATGACATGGCAAAGGTAATTAAGTTGCTATGCATAATATTATATATATAAAAAGTATATTAACGAGACAATCAAAGGCACGTAAAGCAGTTAAAAGCACTTCAAGCAGATATAAGCACTAAACCATTAACTATCTGCAGACATTGCATCGGCATGCACTACTATTTTAGGTGACTATAATTTTGAAAATTAACAAAAACTGACATGTCGGCAAGGACCCCGCTTGCAGATTTTTGTGTAAAGCACAGACTCTTATCAGAAACGGAGGCATACTGAGCAATTCGTGTTGAGGGATTGTCAATTCTCATAAATTTTGTCACCAGCAATTAATTCAGGTTGTGTTCTCGATAAATACAAATTTTAAATCCAAGCATTATGTATTTCTGGTATGCATTTTCTCAAACGGTGGACAGGAATGAATTTTCGAAACAGAAATTCATTTTGGAATAGCAAATTATACCTACATGTCGATTTTCATGAAATTCTGGCAAAAACTTAAGATATTTCTCAAAATTTATCATTTTTGACAAAATCTAAATTTTTATCGTAATTTTGACATAAGATGTACCTAAATACCTATAAATCAATTTGTTAAAGTCCCTATAACACTAAAAAATGCTTTTAAAAATTTGTGTGTTTTTTTTGTTTTGTTTTATTGATAAAATTACTAAATTTTCACCACATCTATCCCCCACTTACAATAAAAATCAATTTATGACAGCAGGAAACAATTTTGAAATGCATATTAAACATAATACATGAGGTTGAAATCCTAGCACAAAAAGATGCTTCTCAAAATGTTATATTACTTTTGAACAAGCACTGAGTTTTCCACGGAAAATTTACACGCAAATTATAACAAAAATCTGTTGTTTTTTTTTTTTTTGTAATAAGGAATCAATTTTGAATGGCATATCATAACTAACGTGTTATTTTGGGTTGACATTCTATAGCACAAGAAGATATGTTTCTCAAAGTTTGTGATTTTTAAAAAAAATTTAAAAATTTTTTTAACACAACTGTTGTCCAAATTTCACCCCAAAAACGAGAGGGACCTTATTTTAATAGGTTTTGATACTGTGCAGAAAAATTTTGAAAACCAGTGGCGGCAATCTGTGACTTATCGTACGACATAGAAGTACTGACAGACTGATTACTATAGAGCAAATAGATTTTATCTATACAATTCTTTGGTAGTTCATTCAAAATGTAAGCAGCTGCTTAGCGAAAATAATTGTCAATTTGATGCTATAGTGTGTTGCTCTAACCTAGGACTGTTCAGTTGCATTTCTAAACCTACAAGAATATTGGTATTTCTTTAACAGTGATCAAATCATGTAAGTATGATGGACTGTTATTGTTTATACACTGAAATGTTTTATTGCTATCGTTCGTAATTTTCTGACTTGAAGAGATAGAAGTCATAGAAGGCTGCGGAATTTTTAAACTTGAGATAAAGGATACAATAGATACAGTTAAGTCTGCCTCATATCTTGACTTACATCTAGAAATTGACAATTAGGGTCGGTTGAAAACAAAACTTTATGACAAAAGAGATGATTTCAGCTTCCCAATTGTGAACTTTCATTTTTATAAAGCAACATTCCAGCAACGCCTGCATACGGAGTATATATATCTCCCAGTTGATACGATAATCCAGGGCTTGTATTTCCTATCACGATTGCCTTGATAGAGGGTTGCTGCTCACAAGGAAGCTATTAAACCTAAAGTTCCAAGTGGTGAAGTTGAAATCATCCCTTCGTAAATTTTACGGGCGCCATCACGAGTTGGTTGACCGTTACGGATTATCCGTTCCACAGACGATAGCGGATATGTTCCTAATGTCGTAACTACCATCCCGTCCCCTTTTCCCGAATGTGACCTACCGAATTAGACTTATTACCGGGTTTGTACTAACATGAGCAACACGACGGGTGCAACATGTGGAGCAGGATCTGCTTACCCTTCCGGAGCATCTGAGATCACCTCCAGTTTTTGGTGGGATTCGTGTTGCTCAGTCTTTAGTTTTCTATGTTGTGTTTTGTGTATTATTGTTTGTCTGTTGGTCTTTTTCTATTTAGCCATGGCGTTGTCAGTTTATTTTCGACTTATGAGTTTGAATGTCCCTTTGGTATCTTTCGCCTCTCTTTTATACGGACGCTATCACGAGTTGGTTGACTGTTATGGAATATCTATGTCACAGGTGACAACGGATATTGTTCCAATTTTCGTTACCACAATTCTATCCTCTTTTCCTCGAGTGTGACATCACTGTCTGAGATTGTACGTGCATGAGCAACACAATGGGTACCATATGTGGAGCAGGAACTAATTAACCTCCTACCAAGTCTATTTAGATATTTACCAATACGTTTTAAAAACTGAGTTGGAAAGAGACTTCTCACAAACCTTGCATACATTTTTTGTCAAAATGAACTTATCTTATGTATTTCCCTGTAGCTTGAACCGCTTGAATGCTGCAACATTAAACTGGAAAGTTGGTAATGGTAAATTTGAAATCATCTCCTCTGTCGTAAAGTTCAGATTTTTTAAACGATCCTTCCAGTTCTTTTTCAAATGACAGTAAAGATATGAAGCAGACTTAACTGTATCTGTTGTATCCTTTATTTCAAGTCTTATGAGAGACATACTGTGGATTTATTTATTTGAGTGGATAGTAATTTTTGTTGATGGAAATAGGGAAATTCAGCGTGATCAGTCCACAAGAAAACTTTCTGATAATAAGTAAGAATGAAAACTCATACATAGATTTATCTTTCTCCTAAATAAAATTAAAGATAGATACGCTTGTTATATAAAACAAAAATTCCTCATGCACCAGCTTCAAATTCCGTGTCTACAGTACTGTTGTACACAGGAACACTCCAATATCCTGTATACGTACAAAGCTTAAGAAAAACACAAATTCGAACGAGATGCAGCAAAGATAAACGCTTTTGAAATTAAATCTTGCTGGTAACTGCAAATACACATTTTAAGAAAGCTGCGTGTATAGTGTACTAAAGGAGGGCAAGAATACACAACTTGTCAATTAAATATCAAATGGACCTTTTTTGGAAAAATTAAGCCCATCTTCCTGATATGATTGTGAATTATGAGGTTATGGAAAAAATACGCAATTGAAAAAGTAAATTTGAAATTCTTCGACCATTTTCTCTTTGTGAAAACGAGTATTCCAAATGTAATTGGGAATGCATATCCCCGGGGGAAACGGGATGTCACTCATTACAACTTTCGATTAAAAGGAGAATACTTTCTTATTGGTGTAAGGTGATTTCTGAAAATTACAAGCTGTCCAGCATACCATAACCATGATATTAAGTAGGCGAAAATGTAAATAGAATAAAATGCATGCAGTTTCTCAAATATTGACAAACACTTCCAAATAAGGATGTTTTAACTTTTTGTAAATTCGGATGACTTAAGCACAATATTCCAATCAAAAGAGGCCAATTGGGAAATGTATGTAGATCAAAGAGAAAATGCAAACTTTGGCACAGATCAGAGATAAGAGACGAATTCCATCAAACCTTTTAAAATAAGAAACGAAAAACGGTACTAATGGCTAAACAACATTATCTATCATGCTGTATATCTTATTGCACGAATAATAACTCACCTCTACCTTATTATGTATTACAAAATGTATTTGTAATTCATTTTGCAAAATGTCCTTGATGTTATTGATTTTTAGAAATAAAAATATGTGTATTGAAAAAAAAATTAAACGTTTAATGCAAATGCATCTAGAAGACCATACACGTATGTGCAACAATTAATCGAGACAATCTATTAAAATTTAATAAATTATTATTCTAACAAGAGGCTGTCAGAGTGACAGCAAACCGGATTTTTCTGCAGAGGTCGAACCCTGAACAGTTGAGCAAGTATGGACACTATATTTAAGCTTAAAACAGCTCTGAATTTGGATTGTGATTGAATATTTGACACAGCATAGGTTTGTGACACAAAATGAATGTGGTCAAAGAATTGAAATATTTGAAATTGGACATTAACCTATCATGGTCCAATATCCAAAATCTAAGTACATATTAGAATCAGCATATCAAAGAACCCCAAGAATTCAATTTTTGATGAAATCTAACAAAAGTTTAATTTAGGACCCTTTGGACCTCAATGTGGACCAATTTGATAAAGGAGCCCATAATCCAAAATCTCTCAATACATGGTTAG